ATTTGTTGTATTGTCATCCACGCCCTTGGCCTGACTAAATCGTGCTCGCAGCAACTGACTGACCAGCCCCAATAGCCAATGGCAAGAGATGGCGTAGCACAAGCTTTCAGCAGCTCTACCTTTGCTCGAGCTTCCTCCAACTGCCTGCCGTGCTCCTCTAACTCCCCATCCTTGACGTGGATCATGTCCCACACCTTCTGGAGCTCCCCGCGGACATGCAGCAGTTCTGCACCCACCTCATCCATGGATTCCTGTGCAACAGCATAAAGTCATCAGCTCCACACTGGTTCTTCAGCTACAGGTAGCTACTTCATCAGAAAATAAGATAGTAGTACTTAATTGGACAAGGTTTTAAATTTGACAGTATCAATGTAAAGAAATGTGTAAAGTCAGCCCTTTTAAAAGAATTTCATGAGATTAGCAACCCATCTCCATGTCTGATGAAACCATGCATTAGGGCATTGTATCAATAATGGGCTGAAATCCATAGAGTTAGTTGAAAATAATGCCTCTGGAATAAAAGTGGTCACCAAAGAATTTATCAATAAAGAATACATGCAAGAAAAAGTCTATTTCATAAATCTATCAGCTCTGTAGCGTGCAAAAATGACATGCATAATAGTTTCAAGGATCCTTATTTCTATTGATTGCTTATAATTTTGTGTTACCCAAGGCCCCCTAGCCATACTACCATTACACCATACATGTTTTTGCAATATGGCCTTTACCTGTGGTGGTTGCAACTCGTCCAAGAACTATTGCAGAGAAAAGGAAAAGCAAGATCTATTGGATTTCTGATTGGTCAAATCAAATCAAAATCATAAATAATAAACTGGAAGAAAAGAAGAAAAGAACCATAACTCTCTGGCAGAATTTAAGCATTAAATTAAAGAGCAAAAGGAAAACTTGATCTATGATATAGCTATTATAGCAGATCAATAGCCATATCCAACTTAACATAAATCTTCTGTTACAAACCCACCTCTATATCCTAAACTATAATATGTTACATATAACACCCCCACCATTACATCACATCATATTGTTATACAATTCTACTAAGCAAACAATGAAAGTTAAACATGAAATTAAAGCCTTACCCTTATCTTTTTTGGTTTGCGCATCTTTTCATCTTCAAGTTCCTACAAAAGATCAACATGAATCAATCAAGCCAAACCCTAAGACTTGTCACATATTCGACCTGAGAGTTCTATACAATCATATGGTTTTATGGAGAGATTCAACTGATGATGATAAAACAGCAAATAGGATAGAATCCAATGTACAACTGCTACATCAAACAAAAATGTGACACAAAATGTGGTTAATACCTCCTTCATGCTCCTGATGACGTTCTCTTGTTTTTCCTGGATGATCTCTGCATCCTTCAGCTGTGAGGACAGAGACTCCACCTCACGACGGAACTTCTCCTTCTCCCCCTTCAGCTTCTCAATCAACACCGTCTTCTCCTCATCTGCAACACCGCTGCTATGGAAACAGACATCAGCTGGTTGGTGAAAACTCACAATATGTGCAATATATGAAATACAATAGCAACAATGATTCACTTCTTCCTTGTCACGAGAACATCAATGAGGTTTTACAGAATTTGTCAGGTACCAGGAAGCAGGGATAGAAAGGGCTCACCTTCCATCCCCACTGGAGCGACTGTGAGTTCTATGGCTGCTCCCTTCCTGCATACTCCTGTGCCATAAACCAGGATTACTATGTGTTGTTATGAGATGATTCAGGTCTCAGTTGAATGATAAAAAAAATGACAGTCATGAAGCTTATGATATACATAGAAAAAAAGCATATGAAGGTGACAATTCACGGTGGTAAAATCTGGGCTGCAAAGTTCCCACATGTCATAGAACCCAAACTGTGTTCGATCGTGTTCGATCTGGGCGATTCGAATCGAACCCGCGTTCTATTTCGGGGTCACCTGCGGTCATTTACAATAAAGCGGGAAAAAAAGCCTTTCTGCCTCCGTGCCTTGCAACAGATGAAAAACAACACTTTTCTATAGATACAAACTGTTTCCTGGACAATACATGTCCGCTATCATTTTTTTGTGGACATGTAACATGTACCGAAGCTACTGTCGTATCCTTGGGTGACCTTGAATACTGTAATGATTCTTTACACCAGTATGAATAACACAATGCAGACTTTTGGTCGACACGACATGTCTGCAAAACTCGTTTTAACCTGCAAGCATGGAGAGTCAAGCATACCCCATTCACGGCTCATAATGACCGTTACGGTTGTCCCGAAAATCGTGTTTTAGGGATTTTTTAAAATGGCCTCAATTTTTGAATTATGGGTAATTTACTGCGAAAAATGTAAAAAAATTCAATTTTTTCACCAATATGTCGACAAAAACTAGACTTAAAATCAGAAATTAAAAAATCCCTAAAACACGATTTTTGATCTTATTCCCAGTCGTCGAAAAATATAAAAATCGGGGATCTGGGGTAATATACGTAGCCAGGTTAAAAGGATGTTTGCCTAAAAACATTACATGACTTGTGGTCGGAAACCCGAAAAAAATCGTCTTTCGGAGAGAAATTTTGCAAAATCAATGATTTATCATAAACAGCTAATATTAAAAGGATGTTAAGGCATTAATTTCATTTTAATTTGACGAAATTTACTATTAAATCCTTTTTGTTTATTTTCAAGTGTTTTACGGGTAGTCCAAAACAGGCCAAAATAGCGTCTTGTAACCCGATACTTTTTAGAACGCGCCTAGCAATGGGAAAGAATGCCGTAGTGACAGACCGCCGTGATTCTCAACAAAATACATGATGTAGCACATATACATGTACTAGTATGTAAAAAATGACTCACTTTCCAGGGAAGGATTCGTTATATTCTCTTTCCTCC